TAGTTTGGCTTGGTGTCTGATTAAAGCCAGGCTCTGTTGGTCAGGCTGCTGTCTTCAATAAAGCTCTGCCAAACATAAGCTGCTGCTTTTCTCTCTTGATTATGTGGTTCCAAATGGAGGACAAAGCTGAAAACCAAATTAAAGAATCTGTAATGGACAATGATAATGAACAGTAGTTTAATTAATTCAAGAATGCAATGGGCCCAGTGTAGTTCTAATTAGTAAAGTTAGACTTTATTAACATGGTGGCCATGGTTTACGCAACAAAGCCCAAAGACTGTGTTGAAAAAAAGGGTTTTGACTAAATTTCAAATAGCCTGAAAAAAAAAAAAAAATCTGTCAAAATCAATCCATCACAAAATACATAATGTCATTGTCTATAGTAGTTTTCAACGTGGGATCCAGGGACTGCAAAATCTGTATAAATGTTTGAAGAAAATCCACATAAAAAAAAACTGGGAGAGATCATATTTGGGAGGGTCCATAGCATCTACAGTAAACAGCTGAAAGCCCCTGATCTATTGACCTTAATCTGCAATGCGGAAGTGCTCTCAAATCAGTTGCCTATGGGAGAAATGATCAAACTACTTCATCTACAATCAAGTGTATTCAAGTCTATACTGACAAAGCAGAGTAATATAAAAAGAAAATTACAACATCAAGCAGCATAACAAACTTTATTTTTGATTGATTGTGATTGTGCCAGCTCGTATGTAAAGAGTAAGGTCAAAAGGTCCAATTTAAAGTCATAACTTCTAACTTAATAAAATTCAACAGTGGTGTAAAGAATAATGAAAAATCATACTCAAGTAAAAGTATCATTACTTGCCCAAAAATGTAGTGCGAGTAAAGTATCTGTTGTAAATATTGCTTAAAGTATGAGTAAAAGTAGACCTTTCAAAAGTATTCAAGAGTAGTGAGTATTACACAGTGAAAAGTTGATGTGTTTACATGCAGTTGGTGCGCAGGGAAGTGTAAACGTAACATTCTTTAGTGCATTCAGTTATCTTCCTATATTCCTTCCTACTTTCCTTCCTTCGTTTGTTCACTTTTTTCCTTTATTGATGTTTCTTCCTTTGTTTCTCCCTTTATTCGTTTTCATTTGTCCGTTCATTCTTTTGTTTCTTCCTTCATAATAATTTGTTTATTCCTTTGTTTGTTTGTTCCTTCCTTCCTTCCTTCCTTTGTTTGTCAGTCCTTCCTTGAATCCTTCCTTCATTCATTTGGCCGTTCCTTCCTTCATTAGTTTGGTCCTTACTTCCATTCCATGTTCAGCTCTTTCTTTATTTGGCCCTTTCTTCCATTCTTCTTTCATTCCATTTAGTGATTTTTAAGGCTGTTTGGTTATTTCAGTCCTTATAGGGTAAACATGCTTTTTTTTCTCATCATCAAATGCAGTATATAAGCAGTCTCTGAGTCATTGTGTGTAAAGATTTTAGACATCTTGGACATTAAGGCTTACAAAATGTTTGGTGCATTTATACTTCGCCCATGTCTTGAGGTTGTTCATTATAATGCAATTCACTTTCTATGTACGATTTGATTGGACAGGAATCAAAGGACTAATTTTTGTACTTTAGCCAAGCACCATAGACAAGAAAGAAATAAAGTAGTGACTGCAGGTTGAAGGAAAATAGTGGAGTAAAAGTACAAATACATTTAAAAAAATGTAATTGAATGAAAGTAAAAGTTCACATTTTTAAAGGACACCAAGGTTACTCCTTTTTTCATATTTATTTTGAATCTTTTGTGTCTCCAGAATGTGTCTGTAAAGTTTCAGCTTAAAATACCCATCAGAATTTTTATTATACTTTTTATAAGATTCTATTTTATACATTTTTTCACTGGGTGGCGGTTTTACTGTACTGCGCCTTTATGGCTAGTCCTCCCTGCCCACCGTTTCTACATGCCTTTCTGTGTGCCATAATCTCCTCCCTTGGCTACGTCAGACAACAAACAGATATAAAGGAATCAGATCTCACATAGAATTTGTGAGAAATACTACAATAAGAACTTTACCTATGACTATTTGATGCATTTGACTAAAATCACTAAATGTAAATTTGTTGTGTTAAGTTACAACGGTGAGTCACACACAATGTCGTTACAAAGTTCACGTACACGTACAGTACAGCACAGACACGATATGCACATACACACAGACAGACAGCCCGCGTTTAGCTTTGCACTCTTTTTGCACGCAAATGTGACAGGATACAGGTTAATATCCACTGCTGTATGGAGATCTGTTATGTTAATGTACAAAATAAACCTGACTTAATGTCCACAAACCGGGATTGAAGCGTCTTCTTTCATAATTGTTCTGACACGCGGCTGTGCTGATGAAGTAAAGCTGAAGTAAATTGCTGTAATTCATTACACACGTGCACTGTTTTAAAACATTTTAAACTTGTGAAACTCACTCTTCTTGATCACATTTGATGATGATTGATGATCCTAGCAAACTGAACAGACCTTTTTATTCCCGGATGCTTTGCACTCGTCTTCTTTTGTTGATATGATTAAACACATGATTACCGGGACATGTTACGCAGCTGTCAATCAATTCGGTGGGCGGGGGGGGCCGCCGTCGGTCAAAAAACAGCTTCAATTAGTCCACCGTTTTTATGTTGTTAAATTGAAAAAAAAAAAAGGACTCTGTGTGTTTATATCACCCCAAAATGGCCGCCCATACACTATACTTACACATATTTCTGTCCAGACAGCTTGAAAAGTAGATTTTTCACCATAGGTGCCCTTTAAAACTACTTAGCAAATTACAATTCCTGAGAAAAACTATTATTTGGAATTAGTTACTTTACACCACTGTATTTCAAATCAATATTAGCAATGCAGTACACTAATTAAGTTAATTGCTATATCATAAAATGTGGTATTGAATCTTTTCAACCCAAATCTACCTGTCACATATTAATATTATGTGTAAGTTCTCCGTTTTTGTATTTCATTGTTATGTCAATCTGGAAGTAGTTTACATTCCTTTTCTTGTGATTGTCATTATTTAGTCTGATATTGTCATAACTGTCATTTAATTAATATTGTCATTAAGTAATATTCTATGTAACCTATCAATCATTACCACTGAATTCAGTTCATTTAGTTGCATCAAGGATCAGTGTTGGGTAAGTTACTTTAAAAAAGTAATAGATTACAAATTACTGACTACTACTGGAACATTGTAATCTGATTATATTACAAATTATTTTACTTTGAGGTTACTTTTAAACATATAAAATATACCTATAAAAATACTAAAGAAACTGCAGCTCTTTTAACAATTTAATATTAACTGAAAAACATTGCAATGGGTTGATCACAGCAGCTTGACATATTCAAAAAACTTCACCCAAAACTTAAAACTCTCTTATTATTCACTTGTTCCAATCCTTTTTATCACAAAATAAACCATGAAGAAAACTGTATACTAGTAATCATTGACATACATAGTATGCAAACACATGGGTGTTCTGTGTTTGTCTGAGGTAATTAGTGTACCGAAATGTGTATATTCTTTTCAAATTATGAAACTGATTGGTCAGTTCTTGTCACGTGACTAGCCGTTTTTCTAATGGTGCGCCTGGAAAATGCAATAGTGTGCAATTTATGCTCCGAATAAGTGTGCGCAAACCGCGTGCCTTCATTGGAAATAACATATTTGCGTGCGCAAAAGACGCGATATGTGAACAGCCTCATGCAGCTACGCTTCTCTTCACATTCAGAAGATAGCTTCACTCCCGATCCTGCACAAAAATCTAATTTAGCCTGTTTAGGCTAAGTTAGGCTGCCATGTTTTTGGGTGTCTACGGTGGTGACCAGTATTGTCATAGAATGCTTTCTATTTAAGTGCTTAAACAAGTTGCTGGTCGAGTTAAAAGTAGTCAAAAGTTCTTTAGAGACTGGACATAGTTTGCATTTCACAGCAATATTTTTGTTTTTAATGCTTAATGAAGTCATAGTAATGTCTGTATTTCCATTAAAGAAGCAACTACTCTTATCAGCAACCATTTCAGCTCGCATTCTCCAGCAATTTCTATTATTAAAAACTATATTATTAATGCAAGTAGTGCAATTTTATTGACTTTAGTAACTAATCAAATTACACATATTTCAAATGTAATTCGCTACATGATTGTATTCCTCAAAAATGTAATTATAATACAGTAACGCATTACACCCAACTCTGTTAGGTATGTTTTTTTTTTAAAGATTAAATTTCAGGGCCCTAAAAATCTCTTATTGATATTGGAAGACATTAAGCAACTTGGATCTGTTTTGATACGACGACCGGATACAACCCATCAGATTTCTGTGGGAAAGAAGGACTTGTTTTGAAAGGAGTCCAGTGGAGTTTCCAAAAATATCAACAGATATTAACCACAAGAGCAACAAGTTAGTCACATACTGTTTTGTGGACCTTAAAAAAATAGCCTTGTAGTATAGATAGGACAGCAGATAACCATTCCTAAACGGTGAGTAAAATAAAAAAACTGCTTACATTCACATCGTCTCTCAGTATCTTGCACTGTGACCAAGTTCATGTCATAAAAATTCTGCTTACTGAATTGTGTTGTACTTACTGTGGCTTTCAAATCGTCTGATAATTGGCCTGTCCCGAGCGAGCTTCTTAAAGCTTCCACACATTGTTGTTTTTTGGGTTTTTCTGTCTAGTTAGGGAGGTTTTGGTCTTGACTAATCACTGTGGTTGAATGGAGGAGTGTGTGTACCGGAAAAGGACTCATAGTGATACTGCGAGATGTATGATCTCGGACACATGGAAACACGGGAATAGTTTGGGATATGAGTGTTTTTCCACTGAAGGTCTTATCGTTGCATTGAGGAGGCTGATCTTTTATAGATCATTATGAGTCATACAGTAGCCCTTCATTCTTTTCTTTGGCTTTGTCCATTAATGTTGAAGAGCTAAGTGAGGATGCTGAAGCTTCTATCTTATTTTTCCTTTTGTTCTCTTTTCTCTGCAGCACAACCTGGAGTTTTTATAGATGGACCACTATCAATGCATTCCGGGTAAGAAACTCTTAACTCTGTGTTTAAGGAGTAAAATGAACCACTGAACAACAAACTTGCAACCAAAAAAATAAAAAGGTCTAACATTGTGTTAAAGTTATGTTTGATTAGTAGACTAAAGGATGGTTATAGGTTTTTAAAAAAAAAAAAAAACACATAAAAATAGTCCAAATCAATAGCCATGGCTCCTGGGCCTGGTTTTTCAAAAGGTTTAATCCGGATAAAATTGATCTGGATTTAGTAATCCTGTTTTTGCAATCCGTGATCACGTAATCCATCTTACTTTTTGAGCCAGTTTTTCAAAGCAACATCGGATTGGATCAATCTGATCTCGATAGGTACTTTTCAGGATCACTAAATCTGGATAACCAGTGCTCAAACAGGATAGGACATCACAATGTAGAACTATAGATATGTAAAGAGTAGAATAGCCAGCATGGGGTCAATATAACTTTACTTTTATTTGAAATGAAAACTAAGAAAATTTGATAATTATTAAAATAATAATAAATAATAATAAAAACAAGAAAAACAACACCCCATCCTCCTTAAGCAGTCTGCTCATTTGAGACCTACAACACTGTACATTGAGGATATTTATAATAAGTTTCAAATATAGATGTAAATAAAAAAAAGACTTAATGTCAAAAACTCCACAATAAGTTCAGACTTCCTCATCTGATGAGGAGAGACCAGCTTGTCTGAGCATAGCCTTTAGGAGGCGGATCTCATGTCATTGGCCTTGGTTTGCTGCAGTTTGGATAGAGTCAGTTGTTTCTCTGCCAGACGAAGCTGTGCTTCTGCCCTTTCAGTCTCTCTTTTTGCAATTGTTGAAAGAGATTACAAAAATCAGTGATTGCCATTCTTTGCATTTTTTTATTTATTCTGTGTTCATTGCATGCATCACTAATAAATATTCTAAAAAGAAAAATATTTTCCACTGTGATGAATATATATATATATATATATATATATATATATATATATATCAATTAGTGAAAGAATAAAATTTATTCTTTTTGGTCAGTTTTGACAGCTGTTTGGGGGATTATTTTATGAGGCCAAACTCTATTTTGCTGTAGGCCTATACTAAAAGGCTGAATACGTTAAAGCCTATACTCACTATAGCCTGAAGGATGAACAAATAAAATGAAAACCTTATGAATAAATAGTATATCTCACAAGATACTGTATGATCCAAAAATAATAATACTTAATACATTTTTTAAGTTTTCATTACATTTTGGGCATGAAATCCATGCTAAATCCATCCTTCTGATGGGATCAGTTTAATCCAGGTTTTTTGGATCAAAGTGATCAAGATCCTACAAAAAAAGGTCTGAAAAACCCAAACTAAAGGTTTGATCCGGATCAAAACCAAGATTGGATTACGTGATCTAATCCGTTTTTTCTTTTGAAAAACCCATTTTCAAGATTGAATCCCTTATCCAAAATCCTAGTGGATTACTTTTGAAAAACCGGGCCCAGGTGACACATTGAGGTATTATGAAGGAAAACGATTGGTCCATGTAAGAAATTGAGCATTATTAACAATATTATTAGCTTCAACAATCAAACAGTTCTTGGCACATGTGTGACTGTAGTTTGTTTGTAGTCCAGTCTCTTTTTACGACCTTTTTGAGTGAACTATCCCTTTAGATTACAATATTCTTAAAAAATCATTACTAAGCAACACATAACATAGCACTTTGTAAAAGGTTATGAGACTGTCGTGAACTGAGGCTTTACACAGTGTTTAACTAACTGCATCTGAAAATATTGTTTAAACATCCAAATTATGGTGCAGAGCCTGGGAGAGTTTCATAATTACAACACTGTAATGAGTGAGAATGAAGATTCCCAATAGACGAAACAGACTAAGCAGTTCAATTAGCCAAGGAAAGCTGAAAAACAGGTATTTTCTATACTATATGAAATAGCACTCTATAAACATGGGCGTTAAAGTCTCAAGAGGTTAGATTCAATATTGTACAAACCATTTTATAGAAATATATAACCAGTTTTAGCAGTTTTTAGATATTTTAAATGAAAGAGATCTTAGTGATTTTGCATTTAAATGGATTTAATGCACAAATTCCAGCCAATCAGACTCAAGAATTCACAGACCATGGTATAAACTGAAAGAGCAGCTTGTCTAGCGCTAAGTGAGAGAGAGACTGAGACTCTACATTCCATTACACCCACGTGAACAGCTATCTACCTTCAGACTACTACTGAAAAACACTTCACTAACCCAACCATCCTGCATTCAGACTAATACTGAGAAACAATTCATGAACTCAACCATCCAGACACACACGCTCGGGGCTGTTTGTGTTCAACCATGTTTGTTTTGTTACATTTCCTTTTCTTCTTCTTGGGATGAAAGAGAAAATCCAGCCGATATGTCCTGGCAATTTGGCAATAATTTACAGGGTAAAATTTCCCGGTTGCCTAGAAGTGGTTTTATGAGGGGGAGACAGAATGAGCGGATGACAGGGGGAGAATGGCATTCTATAAATAATTCTCTCTTTATGACAGGTTATAATTTCTATTATGATCGTCTCGACTGCAGTCGTCAATCAGCTTGTCAGTAAATAATAATGTACACGTTGGATCAGAAAGTCTTTTTGTGTCTGCCTCGTGTGACAGTTTGATGAGGAGAAATTATTCTTTAGGTTGTTGCAACGTCTGTGGTTGTACAGTGAGATGTAGCATTATTCTGCTGTTCGGAAAATTTCCAGCCAGTCTGTAAAAATAGTTTTCTCTGCGCATGAGGTTCTGCTGCAGCCAAAATGTAGGGAGAAATCCCAATATAATTACACTCTTTAAAACAACATCATTATAAGCTATGGTTCAGTGCTTCCCTTTCTAGAGATTTTGAAAAATGAAGGTGGCTTCAGACTGGTTTTAACTTGCGGTCTCTCTTTCAGTACCACACAATAAGTGATCCATAGAGTGTCCGTGGATGAAATGGTTACAGCTTTCCTCAATGAAAGGCAGGCCACTACTGAGGAGATGGCTTTAGTAAGCAATGCACTGGCTGCTTACTCCTTCATAGCAGGTAAAAACTCTTTTTTTATTTGCTTTTTTTCCCCCAACTTAAGCACATTTATCAATTTTTAATAGTTGAGTTGAATGTTTTAAAATACTTAGCAGCAAAACATGGTGCTGAACATCTATTTGTGTTAATCGCTCAGCGCTTTTGTCTGGTCGCTGTGAGTTGAATGTCCAGCAAGCACAGTGCTCATAAATGTCACTTTTTACTCAAACGTTCAAATCACGGAGGAGAGGGGCAGGGCAAATACCACAACGCATGTCAAAACATCCTTGTTGCAAGTTGTACGATATGAGGAGTAATCACATCAATGGACAAATAGAGGGAAGACAATAATATTGTTGAAAACCTTCTGTTTCAATATTGTAATTTTAAAATTCTATATCAGTATCAAATCATCAGTTGCTTTAAAATGTTACTTTCTGTGAATATTTGGACATACTACTAATTTTGCATTTTGTACTTACTAAATAGTATAGACTAGGCACGTTCAAATGCAGTGATGAGTTGCTACTGACAGACAGAAGATAATACACAGTAGGCTATACGGTAAATGTAGTACTTTTTGATTTAATTCATAAATAGGCTAATATACTTCTTTGCAGTGGTAATATAATTACTTGTTTAAACTCAACAACCTACTCAAGATAGTATGAAAATTTCATCCAGCAGTGAAAATAATTTTTAAGACCCGTTTTGATGGCCTTTTTTTCAAACTCTCTTTATTTTAATGACTATTATGTTTGTTAAATCTGGCTTTCCATCAGCAGGGGCGCCCCCAAGGGCCACCCTTGTGTAAACTCTGGCCACCCCAAAATGATTTTGCTGTGGATATTATTCATTTTAATGTATTTACGTAAACTCACAATATGTCAATACATAAATAAATAGCAGCCACTGTTATTGTGGATTGATTGGTGCCCCTGACGTAGCTGATTTACTGCCCCTCCTCCACCACCTCCCCAATCATCATTGACAGCAAACACACACATCTTCAATACACAGCAATGGCAATTTAATATTTACCTTAAGGTACATTAATAGAAGAAGCTGTATTAATAATATTATGGCTCAAAAAGGAATATGGATAAATTATATTATTAGGGTCTGTATAGCAAGTGTGCACGTGTATAATAATGCCTTTTGTTCAGTTTGTTCATTTGTTTGTTTTTATTAATTAATTAATTTGTTTTCATTAATTTTAGACATAACATATACCGTATACCAAGGGTTGCCAACCCTGTTCCTGGAGAGCCACCGTCCTGCAGATTTCAGTTGCTACCCATATCAAACACACCTGAACCAATTAATAAGGACCTGAACACCACGTGATAATTACAGGCAGATGTGTTTGATATGGGTTGCAACTGAAATCTGCAGGACACAAGCTATGTTTCCATCCACTTATTTTATGCGCATTTTGCGCATAAACGTCATGATGGAAACGTCATGATGCGCATAAATTTTGAAAATGCGCATAAAAAACTTATGCGCCTAACTGGGTACGATAAACTTTTTATTTGATAAGAAAAGATGCGCATAAACTGCGATGGAAACACTTTTACCGTACAAACTCCAACATGCGCATTAAAAAAGGTCATGTGATTTTGTTAAAAGAGATCATGTGATGCTTAAAATGATTTGTAAATGGATAAATTGTCAGGCTGAGCACATTATAAAACATCTGAAATGTTGTTTTGGTCATTAAAAAACACCTTACCATTTCAGTATTAATGCTTGTCAGGATTGTCTTCTGAGGCGCATTCATTTAGAAAAGATTGACGCAATTGCAAATGCAGTTTTTACTGTTGATATTTGGCGCCATTTAATCAGGAAGTGACGATTTTGTTCGCTTTGACTCGTTGGATGGAAACGATGCTTCATTCCCACAACTTCTATGCGATAACCCAGTTTTGCGCAAAAAGTTTATTCGCATTTTTGGATGGAAACATAGCTAGTGGCTCTTCAGGAACAGGGTTGGCCACCCCTGCCATATACTGTACAATAAAAGTGTGTGAAAATAACTGAAAAGTTATATATATATATATATATATATAAATATATATATAAAGGGTTTTAAAACTAAATATACAAACCAAATAAAAATCTATGTGTACTTGCTGAATTATTTCAAGGAATAAATTGCAATATTTCAAGAGTAATTAATTAAATGAATTAAAAGCACATTATTTCATTTACCAGAAACAAAACAAAAAAAAAAATAATAATAATAATAATAACATTACACTGAATTCATTATTTTTTTGTGTGCCACTCTAAGATTTGGTGTGGCCTCTTCTTCTATTAATACCCTGAAATGTATTATTTTCCCAAATGTATAAAAGATAGCACTTTAAAAAACAGGAGAAATTAAGATTTGGGGGATGGGGGGGGGGGGGGGGGGTCGTTCAGTGTACTCAAGATTTACACTGAAGAATTGTATTATTATGTGTTTTTGACGCAATTGATACATCCCGACACAACCGATTAGTAACGACTTTGTAATCCGTTACAAACCGTTACACTGTGGCTCAGTGCAAACTTTCACTAACCTTGTGACTGTTCCTGCAGATCAGCCGGAGCGGGCGGCGCTGTATTTCGTGTGTGGAGTGTGTTTGGGACTGGTTCTCACTCTCATCGCGCTAGTGGTGCAGATCTCCTGTCGAACCGACTGCAAAACGCAACAAGCGCCCAAAAAAACGGGAAAGACTGTGGAAAACACAAGTGACACGAGCGACAGCGACTCGGACTGGGACAACACCTCTGACCTGTCAGCTCGCCGCCACCGGCGCTTTGAACGGACGCTCGGTAATGTGTTCACCTCCGCCGAGGAACTGGAGCGCGCGCAGCGGCTGGAGGAACGCGAGCGGATTATACGCGAGATCTGGATGAACGGACAGCCGGACATGCCGGGCACGCGCAGCCTCAACCGCTATTATTAAAAAAAGACTGAAGTTTGGAGAATACGTTTGAAAATGTATTAGCTATTACACTTTTTTGGGGGGATACAGTAAGGGACTGAGTGTGAGAGACGTTTGGGATGTTTGGAACAGCTCTTCTGGTGGCGCTGGCACTACTATAGAAGCGTTCGTGTATTTAAAGGTGCACTCAGTTGATTTTTGGTATCCAACTTTTTCCTACACCCCATGATGCTTGGCGTAAATTATCGGAGTAACTTCCATTAAACTAAAAACAGTGTTTTTCTTAATAAAACTGTTACAATTAGGTGACCTTATTCTCCTCACTGTTCATCCATGATCGAAATATAGCATAACAATTACCCTTCACGCAGTTTTCACTGTGTGATGGTTTGTAGCACAGCCTTATTATTCAAAACAATTTAAAGTTCTTATTTAAGCTTCTCAAACATGAAGTGCAACCCGTAATCTGAAACTTCACATTCAGAAAAGGTGGATATGGTGTTAGTCCCCTTATATTTAAAGGCTACTTCTGTTTAGTGACTGACACCTGGTGTCAACAGTGTGTAAATGCTATGAGTTCCAGGATACCATGAGGAAAACTGTCAAATTTTGACTTAATTTGAAAAGTATTCAAATAGGGATTTTGCTTTACTTTTCTTAAAACTCTTTAAATAATAGTATTAACGCAGATCAACAGCATAACACTATAACACATACAGGCATAACAAAATTAATACCTGACAGCTGGCAATACATAAAGGTCTGATAAATGATTGATCAGTGACTGAAACTGAACATCATGTGCATTAGCCTTTTATTATTAATTATTGTTAATGCAGCATCTGCAAACTATCTCAGTTTGTGCAACTGAAAAAAAATTAAAATGGTAATTGCAGCTGTTTATTTCACAATTTTGCCTTTATATCTCATAAGTCTGACATTGTAATCCAGTAGTTGTTATTTATTACGTCATTTCCCACTGTAATATCTCTTTTCTTCTTATAAATGTAGTCTTTAACCTGTAATTGTAAATGTATGTCTCAAAATTCAAAGGAATGGCAACAGAATTGCAGTAGAGCAATTATATCTCACAATTCTGTCTTAACAACCAAAAGTGAACTAAAGTTCATATTACACAATTCTGAGAAATAAGTTTGTAAAAACTCATTTATTCAGAGAGAAAAAGATGGGAAAAAAGTAAATTGTGTAGGCTTCCAATGCAAATACTCCAATGCAAAAAAAAAAAAAAAGATGCCACGAACATGGAACAACTTTACAAATGTACATTTGTCTTGTTAGATGTCAAATGAGACAACTTTTATTATCTTAAAGATTTTATAGTCAATGAGTTTAAAGATTTTGTTTTTAATAAAGGATATTTACTGAGTGCACCTTTAATGAAAACATGTTTTAATGAAGAATTTGTATCCGATGGAGATAAAATAATATCCTTGAGCTCTGAAAATGCTTGACTTGAAATAGTGTATTTTTAATTAGAATGAATTTTGCCTGAATTTACGTTCAGTACCATAAACATTGAACAATAGAATCGCCTAATTTTATCTTCTCATTTAGTTTCCTATTTTTTATTTTTTTGTTTTATTTAAGCAAAATGTCTCTGTTACAAACACTTTTATTATATAAATGCTTTGTCCTGGAGCTCAGGGTTTTCATGACCTCGGTGAAGGATTTTTTTCCCCCATTTGTAAGATAGTGGACAAAATAATGGTGCGTGCCTTTATTTTAATAAAACAACAACAACAAATTACACTGTAAAAATGGAAAGTTATAAAAAGGATTATCAACAGACACCAACTTTTCATGTTTACCTGCATTAAGCCCAATTCAATCAAGTATTAATTATGCATGGATGACAATCACCTCTGTATTGTATTTTTCACAGGTAGTATGAATTATGGTGCTATAGATAAAATCCATCCAGTTTTGGATCAGAAATACATCCCTGTCCTCTTTCCCTCCTTGGTGTTGAGAAAATGTGTATTTTTATAATTTAATAAATGACTCACATGTTTCTAATTCTACAGTCATTCAAATGTTTTAAAAATGTTAATTTCATAGAAATATATGGATGTATTAGGATTTGAAATTCTGGTTGTGTTTTAACATGGTTGTTTTGAATGCATCTGAGGAGAACTAACGTGCCAAATTAAGTTTGTCTGTGGAGGCACTACATCTTTCAATAAAATAAAAACTCAAGCTATATTTTAAACTCCTTAACATTCTGAATGTTTCTTTGCCCAAACTCGTATTACAATGCATTTCTTCCCTCTACTTGTCTGATAAAAACAGCCTTATAATTGTTTGATTTTAAAACCGGTCCCTTTCAGCACATGCAATAGATAGACAGAAAGAATAACATTTAGAATTTAATTAGTTTAGTTTACTACTATCATAAAAATACTGGAATGAATGACATCATTTATTGTTGTAAAACCATGATTTATATCAGTACTATAGTGGAAAAAATGCCAGAAAGTGCGTAGTAGAATAATTATAAGCTTAAACAGCACTTTTATTTATTCCATTTATTTATTTTGATGCTAAATTATAGGTATTTTCCAAATCCCCCTACACATATATTGTTAATGAAATAATCAGACACAAAATGATAAAATATTATAGAAAAGTAATAATAATATACTGTAAAATGCATTTTTCACCATAAATATAATTTTTTTTGTATATAATAATGAAATAATAATATTAGGGGGTATGCAGTCAAAGTGGGTTGTAACAATAGTAAAAAAGCACAATCTTAAGTAAACTTGTTCATATGAAAAAAAAATCAGGAACAAATGCCTAAATATTTTGTATTTTCTCCACATGTTTAACATACAAAGATTATTCTAAATTATAGTGTGTTCTCTTTACACATATATTGCTGATTAAATAAAAGAGACAAAATTATACATTAGATACAAACAAAGACGCATATACAGGTATACAAACATACACACTTTGAAATAAAATAATAGCTACATTTCTTAAATTAAATATAACTACAACAGATAAGGGTTCAGAGTGCTGAAAATATTTCTGAATTAGCATGTTAATATTTTATTAGTACAAATGAAAGCATACTAGGAAGTTCAGAAATCCAAATATTTTGAATATGAATTTTTTTAGAAGACTTGTAGAATTTAGGGTGAGATGCTGCAGGCAAAAATGCATGTCAGTTTTGAGATTTTGGACTTTTTGGCTTTTTCTGAAGTGTTTTTTTAGTGTAATGTACAAAAAAAGAAACAAACAAACAAGATTTCAATTGCCATTCAGATTTTTCAAGGCAGTTTTCCCAAACAAATTAATTCTCCTGCACAGTACCATCAATTTCCACTTCAGCACCAAACTGCAGTAGATGCCCTTCCAGCCACAACCCGGTACTGAGAAATACTCATAGACAATCATTCATGCACACGCACACACACACACACACACAAACACAACCACAAACACACACACTATGGTCAATTTAGTTCATCCAATTCACCTACCACATGTCTTTGGATTATGAGGTAAACCGGAGCAGCCGGAGGAAACCCACGTGAACACGGGGAGAACATACAAACTCCTCACAGAAATGCCAACAGGACCAGCCAGGACTTGAACCAGTGACCTTCCTACCAAATTTGATTCTAATGTGTCAAAAAAAGTTAAATAAGCTAGAATTTGAACTTGACTTTATCCAATGTTTTTAAACCCTTATTTACCTGCAGTGTCTCGCCTTAAAAAAATAAGATTTATGTTTACATAAATAATGTTTAAAAAGTTAATTATTTATTATTACATGTTATTTAAAAAGTGAACTATAAAATTAGCTTTTATCCACAGATTATCCATAAATAACAATAATTTTTTTTTAAATATAGTCTGTTCCCTCAACATACAGTATATATTAATAAAACAAGCAAATGACATAAAATATATATAAAACATACATATAAAATCATATAAAGAAAAAAGATCAGGCACTAAAATACATCAGCTTATGTAAACACACACACACACTAAACGTAAACCCCTTTTGATTCACTGAGCTTATAGCTAAAACTACCAAACAACAAATAACTACTGTAGCAGCTTAAAGTGGTTGTAACATGCTAACAACACCATCTTCATCCCAGATAAAACCTTGTTTACCATGTCCTCATTCCAGTTGTTACGATCAAAACTGCACCTGTCTTCTAACCCCTCCGAGTCGATCACCTACAGTCTGCATTGTTTTAAAATCTGCTATCGGAGTGGAGGTATAACACGGATTCCTATTCAACAGCTGTTTGCCAATCAAATGCACTTCATCTCCATTCACAATAGGACTGATGGCGGCCATTTTGTCTTTTTCTAATATAGAATCACTGACACTATAAGACTGAGCTTCTGCACTGAAGTAAACAGTACTGCTGCAGTCCACGGGGCAACTATTATACTCTATTTTCTCTAAAGACACCTGTTTCACTTCAGCTGCAGAGGTGCTTTCAATCTGGTAGTTTTCAGACGCTTTACCTGCTTCAACTGATGAACGTTTACATCCGCTTTCTCCCAAATCTTCATCCTTGGCATCATTTTTGCCCAGTATGACTGAAAGCCCTCTGTTTCCATACATGCTGTTGATTTTGTCATGGTTTCCAGTTTTGAGAGCTAGCTTTATTAGCATGTGATGATGGTGCCCGTCGCCCTCTAGAGGATGAAGATGCTGAGCAGGAGGAAACCCGGTCAGTGAGAAGGTGCCGTGTTTGTGCGTGGAGGATTCCAGCGTTGTGTCTTTGCAGTCTGTGTCGGTTTTGTCGATGGTTGTCAGGCTCATTTGGAGTCTCAGGCTTTGGAGGATCTCAGTGGATTTCGGATGGAGAAATCGGTAGTAAAGAATGAGAAAAATGACACCTGGTAAAATAGAGGACCGTAAGTCATAATGTTACTGCGACATAACAACGGTGTTTTACGTTTGCTATATTTGTTGTAAGAAAATTATGCTACCAGGGATGTAACAATTCACTGTGAGCAAGTTGAAAAAAATCGATTCAAATATGTGACTATTCAAACCAATACAAATGTACAAACCGGCACACGGTGCATCAGTGTTTTCATAGCGAAAGCATGAAGATATTTTTCAGAATGAAAGAGAAAGACATTCTGTTACAGAACTAGGTATTAGATTGATCCTTTTTACCCTCTCCTTTTCAAACTAGTTTATGCATCTTTCAGTAATTTGCTTATTTCTATTTTATAATCAGTATTTTATACCAGTGGCCAGTCCCATGGAGCAGAGGGCCTATTGACCACCTCTGTACACACTGCTTTCTAGTTTAGTACAAGCTTTCCTCTCCACACCAGCTATCTCAGTCCCCAGTAAAAGAGTTTTTTCATCAGCAAGGGACATTGTAAATGTGCAATAATCTCAGTTTATACCAGAAAACATAGATTTAGACTGTAGAATTATCTCAAATAAAAAATAAAAAAAAATCAATTTAAAATGTTTCATTAAATAAGCTCCTAAAGACTACAATATGAAAAGCAACTTTACAAGACTTTTTGCTCACACTTTTAAAATAAATTGCATTTAAATATAAATATTTGTTAGGCACTTCAATTTAAAGCAACTTACAAATGAATAACTTGAATCAAAGCAACAATATAACAGGCAAAAAAAAAATTTGTATATATATATATTAAAAAAAATATATATATATAAATATATATATATATATATATATATATATATATATATATATATATATTTTTTTTAAATATATATATATACAAAATTTTTTTAATATATATATATATTTTTTTATTTTATTTTATTTTATTTTTTTGTTAACCTAGTATCTTAAAATAATTGTGTAAGTGTATTTATGTTTTGCTTTTGTGTGTGAGCCTGTCTAAAAAAAATCTACCCCCTGTCGGGATAGACAATAAAAAAATTTTAATTGAACTGAATTATTCTTATTATTATATGTTATCATGTGATAACCATGAATGAAATTTTTGTATTTCGTTGCATCTGCATTGTTTACCGATTAGGAAGCTGCATGAGACAGTCAGAGGAACACTCATGCTGTCCCATGAAGGCCCGCTGAAAGAGTCTGATGCCAGGAGCAGAAGAAAAGTGTTCTCCAGCAGCATTAACTACAACACAGAGAAGTAGATGAGTGAGCTTTCTATTCAACAGAAAAAACTACACAAAGATGTTAACTATTGGTAGTGAGAGAAGACGCATTATATATAAAATAAAAAATAAAATAAATTCAAAAACTTTTGCTCCTTTTAAAGAAAAACTCACTTAATTGTGCCATATTATTTATGAAAACAAGAAAATATTTTCTACTTGTCTAAAAAATGCTTCTTGATTAAAGAAGTTTTACATATCTAAACTAGAAACAAGACAAAAACTCTGAATTAAGCAGTTTTTGTAGTGTAAAACTTCACTCATTCCAAACTAGATATGGGATGGGGGGTGCTTAGAAGATTTAAGAGTTCTACAGTTCTCATGTTTTTGTTGTTGCTGCATACTGTATTTAATGTCATCTTTTTGTTGATAGGGCTTCTATTTTCTTCTATTTTCATACATTTACAGTATAAGTTTGTATATTATTCGAAAATACACAATAAAAATATTCTGATAAAAAAATCTCAATAGTATTTGCATTAAATTTATATTTATTGAATCAAATCAGGTGGTTCATTCTGCTGTGGTGACCCCTGATAGATCAGAGACTGAGCCAAAGAAAAATTAATGAATTAATAATTGAATAAATTGAATTGATTTCAGAACTGAACTGAATCATACTGAGAGCTTGTGAATCAGAATTGAAGAGAAGAGAATGACTATTGAAATATAAAAAAACACCTAAAAATGAAAACCAATGCATACAAATAAAACAACTTGATATATTACTGTAAATAATTACTATAATAGTGCATAAATAATCCTAAAATACAACAGCAATGCAGCAGAATCTTACCAGATAGAATCCAGTCATGCGGTACCGCGATGGACCGTCTTTAACATTAACAAAGATGAAAATGTACAAAGCCCCTAAGATGAAGTTGAAGAGACGCCAGGAGCCACGGTTGATGCAGATGTCTGTCTGCTGGGACACTTGCCAGAACATCATAATGAGCCAGTGGAAACCTAAGCAGAGGATTGAAGAGGCATTCACAAAGCAGACCTTTATTAACACTGCAGGTGAATATGGTAATACAGTGAACTGATAGTTTTCACCATACTAAAATGTCATGTTTAAATTGGTTTATGTTTTAATGCAGCATAAACAAACGGCAGCATTGGCTATACCCATGGCAGTACTGCTAATACAAATGTATACCTAATTTACAATCATAAGTTTCTTTTTAAACGTACACTATACAAAACAAACAGATAACAAATACTGATAAAAGATCATATCTTTCAGTGATAAATATTCTAAAATTCTTACACCAGACAAGTTTTTAATAATTTAACTCAAAATCACATTTTATTGTTATTTTTATCGTTTAGATTTTTTTTCCTCTAATATCGTTTAAAAATAGTCAACATTTTCTCAGCATGTTTAAATAAGCTAATATTTTATTAAATATTAGCCAATTTGCATCAAATTCTAGCACAAAATATGATCTTAAATTTGCTTTCTCAGTACTGGGTGGCAGCTGGAAGCGCATCCTCTGCATAAAACATATGCCGGAACAGTTGGCGGTTCATTCCGATGTGGTGACCTCTAATATATAAGGGACTAATTCAAAGGGAAATTAATAAATATTAAATTTAAATTTGCACACTTCACACAAAACAACAATTAAAGACAACATTATTAGTCCTCCCGTGAAAGTTTTATTCTTTCTCAAATATGTCCCAAGTCCTGTTTAACGGAGCAAGGAAATTGTCACAGTATTACCTATTATATTTTTCTTTAAGTTTTATTTAGTAATGTTTATCTACATTTGCTTGTGTAACTACCTGCAGTGTCCCGCCTTAAATAAACACTCCACTTTGAACACATCATTTTTCAAGTCCCCTAGAATTGAGCTTTTGAGTTTTACCATTTATTTTTTATTTTTAATAATTATTTTCTCTGTATTTCAACTTTAATGTACAAAAAAGGAGATTACAGACAGGAAAGTTAGGGGAGCAGAGGGAATGGAAGGTTCAGCAAAGGACCTTGAGCCGGGAAAAGAATTTGGGTTGCCATGAGCACATTGGTGCTATGTGTCGATGCACTAACAAGTTTTACCAATTTTTAATCAATTCAGCCGATCTCCGGGTCTGGAGGGAGCACTTTTAGCTTAGCTTAGCATAATACATTGAATCAGATTAGACCATTAGCATCTTGCTCAAAAAAATTCAGAGTTCAGATGATTTCCTATTAAAAGCTCGAGTGTTCTGTAGTTACACTGAGCCCTAAGATTAATGAAACATAAAAAGTTGTTATTTTCTAGGCTATTAGGGTAAATGCCAAGCTAATGTAGTTCCCATACTGATAAACTTCTGGTGACCTGTAATTGTACGTTTTTTTTCCATTTTATACGATCCTTTAAAGCATTGATGATGTAATGTAATTAAAATACAATAGGTTAAACAGACTTTGGCATTCATTTAGCTGCTGAAGCGTAAAACGAGACAAAAAGCCATCTACTCGCACGTTCCTGTCAGAATCGACAGGCTAGCGTAGAAGCGCCATTGAATATAATGCTCATATTATAAAGACATGGCGGGGGGAACATGTAATTTAATGCGGTGCTTCTTGTACAATCTGAGACCCACTTTATATCAGATATCACTCAGCCAGTGAAGATCGCTGATTTTAAAAGAAAACATACCTTAAACAATTTTGCAATTACATACTGTTCACCGGAAGCCCTTGACACAAGTTACTGGCAAATTAAAAGTCCTATTAGCATACTTGGGCATATACCCTATATGTCTGGGAACTATACTCTTATTCTGGCGTAATAGTCAAGAAACTTTGCTGCCTACTACAGACACAATGATACTACACCTAATAATAATAATAATAATTCCATTGTGCCTGCTGCAGCCACATTTTTTGGGTGAGATGCTAATGGCTAAGTTAAAAGTCCCCCTGCCAGACCCAGATCGGCTGAATGGATTAAAAAATGGTTTAACACAACTGTGTGAAAAATCAAGGGGTTCCTTTATATAATCGGTGTACAAAGGTAAATCACTAAAAAGGCTATATGCAAACATATGATACGAAAGCTCACCCAGGACTCCACAAGTCCACCAGTGAAAGGTGCTGCAGAACAGCATGAGGCTGGTCACTCTGGCACTCAGCATGCCTGCTCTCCATATGAACTGGCACAGCAGTGCGGCAGGGGTCATGTGCAGATGAGCGGGACGCAGCAGAAAACATGAGCGGCTGTACAGGACCACAAACCACGACACATTCAGCAAACTCAGCCCGATGCATACAACCACTGTGGAGAGAGAAATTCAGGGAATAAACAGCTTCCTGTGACTGTGTGAAACTGATTTAATTGTACTGTACATCTGAGTGAAACAGCTGTTTTGATCAAATGTAGGGCTGAGCTTGGTTTTGTTCACCAGTAATTGATTTGATCATTGCTGTTGCTTGTATTGTGATTCCATCTTAGTGACAAGTTGCCCCACCCACATCACCAGAGAACAGATAAACAAAAGATATTTTGATGAAAGATTATGGGTTAAATGTACCAACAACTTGTGTCAATGTGTAAATCATCTTTTGAGTTAAAAAAAAAAACTGTCAGAATTTACTTTTGACACTGTAAAATAAACAAATTGTAATAAAAAGGCACTTCTTTTTTTGCAGATTTTTGCATATGCATTTGTAAGAGTTGAATTTATAGAAAAAGAGTCTTTAAATTAATTAAGCATGATTTATTCCAAAACGCAAAACATAAAGTTTTTTGTATTAAAAACCAAATTAACTGCTTCCATTATTAAATCTTGCTTCTTATAATAAGTATTTGTGCATATTAATATTTATTTATATATTTGATTACATTTTTATTATTCATTTTAAATTAATTGAGAATCATTTACTTAATTAATTTTAATTATATTTTGTATTTATTAATTATATCTATACTTGTTTACTCCCTTCTAATTTACATTTATTTTAATACTATTTCTATTTGCTTGTTTTTGCATACTTATTCTCTTATGAACTTTAATCTATCTTGATCATGCATTCTGATTTAAATTATTAATCAATGGTTTTTATTATTATTTTTAATGCATTTTCTCCAATGATTTCCATGAACTCCCCTGCTGACCTGTTCGGGTTAATTTACTGCTATTAGCACCATTAATTAATGCAGAAAGAAAACCATTGTCTTGACACATTTCACGACACAACAGTGGTAATATTCGTAAGAGTAAGAACACAGAAAACAGACAGCATGAGGCAAAAAAAAGAGAATCTTCTTCATTTCTCTTCATTTATTTGTAATGCCAGTACAAGACTGTATCCCAACTTGATAATCTGCTCCTGGCAGATTATGGTAATTAGCAGCTTTATCTGTGTATTTGCATTTTCACTTTGTCAGTAGGTCATCTTTACACTCCCATCTGTGATTTTATGAGATTGCTCTCATGCTTATTTGTCCTATTTACTCAATTTTGGCCCTATAAGATTACATTCATTTCTGAAAAATAAATAAATAAATAAAAAAGATCAGTATACAGTTGAAGTCAGAAGCTATTAGAAGGTATTAGCCCCGCTGTTTATTTTTTTCCCAAATTTCTTTTCAACAAAGAGAAGATTTTTTTCAACACAGGATAGGCAAGTTATTGTAAAACGATGGTTTCTTCTGAAAAAAAAATCAAAAGGGGTTTAATAATTCTGTTTTTAGTTGTATGTGTATGTGTGTGTGTGTGTGTGTGTGTGTGTGTGTGTGTGTGTGTGTATATATATATACAGTTGAAGTCAGAATTATTAGCCCCCTTCGATTTTTTTTCTTCTTTTTTTTTAATATTTTCCAAATGATTTTTAACAGAGCAAGGACATTTTCACAGTATGTCTGATAATATTTTTTCTTCTGGAGAAAGTCTTATTTGTTTTATTTCGGCTAGAATAAAAGCAGTTTTGAATTTTTTATGAATCATTTTAGGGACAAAATTACTAGCCCCTTTAAGCTATATTTTTTTTTCGATAATCTACAGAACAAACCACTGTTATACAATAACTTGCCTAATTCCCATAACCTGCCTAGTTAACTTAATTAACCAAATTAAGCCTTTAAATGTCACTTTAAGCTGTATAGAAGTGTCTTAAAAAATCTAGTAAAAATTGTATTAACAGTCATCATGGTAAAGATAAAATAAATCAGTTATTAGAAATGAGTTATGAAAATTATTATGTTTAGAAATTTGTGGAAAAAAATCTTCTCTCCGTTAAACAGAAATTGGGAAAAAAATTAACAAGCGTCTAATAATTTAGGGGGCTAATAATTCTGACTTCAACTGTATATGTGTATATATATATGTAGAATATTTCAATTAAGTATTGCCATTTTTGTCTTTTTATATGAAAAAATGTGATTTTATGGTGACTTTACTATAAAAACATTTATCTAAGCATTTCCTGTATATTGCACACTCACTCATTCAGCCATAAACACTAAATATTTTACTGCTTCAACAGAAAACTCTTGTACCTGGTGACAGAAGGCCAGGGTGAAGGGTGAATAAACTGTAGGTCTGCAGTAAACTCTGAGGTAGACTGAGAGTCAGGGCTTCAATCAAACAGAGAACAGAAACATCTGCTTGCTGTATCAGTACTGCACCAAACTGAACCTGCTCAGCCTGGGACTTCATGCAGCTCCACAATCTAAAAACATAAAACACACACACACACACACACACACACACACACACACACACACACAAACACACATATCTCAGAAATTATTAACAGACTGTTGTATGATCAAAAAGGTAGGGCAAATCCAATGAAACCTGTCAGGAATACTTGCACAACAAAGTACACCTCTGTGCAGAAATATATGGATATATTTATATATATAATATATTTGTTTGTTTTGAAAGATTTCTTATTCACCAAAGCTTATTTCATTTCATAAAAAAGCAGAAAAAATGAAATATTGTGACTATTTATTTTATTTTATTTTATTAGTAATAATGTACTTGCTATTTATTTTTGTCTGTGTTCTTATATTTATATAAAGTATTATTTATTTCGGTAATGGTAAAGTAGAATTTCCTGCATCAAGTCTACAATGTCACATAAATCTTTAGAAATCATACTTATATGTTAACTTGATGTAAAAGAAGAATAAAATATTTTCTAACAAAAAGAAGTACATAACAAAAATGTTTAATCCAATTATTAAATAATAATAATAATAATAATAAAAATGTAGTAATAAAACGATATTGGCAGCGTTTGTTTTATTTCTGAAAATATTTTATGAATTAAACCCTAAATACATACTATAAGAATGAATACATAATTAATTAATTAGAACTGTACCTGAGTTTTAAAAATGAAAAGAAATTGCATGCGCACACACACACATGCACGCACACACACACACACACACACACACACACACACACACACACACACACACACACACACACACACACACACACACACACACCCACACACAATAAGAAATATTTAAAAACTTTGAATTTCTACATTTTTTTAATAAAAAATTAACTTTAACTCTTTTTTTTTTTTTTTTAAAGGTCTAACTGATAATGTAACCGTTTTTTGTCTTTATTTTGCAGGGAAAAATCATGTTTTAATTAAATATTAAATATTTTATTTTATTTAAGCACACTTGAATTCAAATCCCTATATAGTGTTTTTGACCTGTGGTAGACGCCCAGATGCAGACAGTGCAGCAGGATGACTGAAGGCTTGGGTCTTTCTTCATCAGTGATGTACCACTTCAGACTGAGCATCTGAACAGCAGAGATGGGCAAACACAGAGCCGCAGTCAGCCACGCCAGCAGCTCCTGACCCGTAATGAGGTAGTGTGTGAAGCACAGCACCACTGACGAACAAAACCCATTTACAGTTAGATTTGAGACAATGCTGTAGTGCAAGTTTGTTTAGAGATTCAAAAAGTTACTTTTTATTGCTGTTTTGTGGAGAAAGAGTCTAGCTGATATCTTTTTTGCCAACACTCAAATAACAGTCTATTCTCTGGGTTATCTTCTGATCCGATAAAGGTCACTTTATAAAGAATTTTCTATACTATCTTTCATATGCACCTAGTGTATACAATGATGGATGGATTTAAAGTCAATTTCTAGTCATTATCGTTGTCTTTTCTATTGTCTATTCTATCTTTTTTTAAATGCTTAGTATTTTTGTCTCTATCACTTCAGGGTTAGGGAAATCCCATAATTACAATGTTTTCCCAGTACTGGGTTGGAGCTGGATGGGTATCCGCTGTGTAAAACATATGCTGGATAAGTTGGCAGTTCATTTCACTGTAGTCCCCTGATTAATATGGGACTAGGCTGAAGGCAAATGAATGAACTGCCATGAGTCTCTAATCTATAAACATGTATTTTCAATTCTGTAATTGTAATTTTTAATAATCTTTAATTTAGTACCAGCACACTTCTAGCGATTCCCAATTAGGTTTTTCTTTATATGCATTTTTTATTAAAAACACTTTGATCTACTTACACTTACAGTGAATTAAATTTATTTTATCTTTAAGAAGTTATTAAGTTTGTAACTATCTATCTAGGGCATCACGGTGGCGCAGTGGGTAGCACACAGCAAGAAGGTCGCTAGTTTGAGCCTCAGCTGGGCCATTAGGCATTTTTGTGTAGATTTTGCATGTTCTCCCCATGTTCGTGTGGGTTTTCCTCCAGGTGTTCCCAAGACATGCGGTATAGGTGAATTGGGTAAGCTAAACTGACCGTAGTGTATGTGTGTGAATAAGTGTGTATGGATGCTTCCCAGTGGTGGGTTGCAGCTGTAAGGACATCCATTGTGTAATGCATATGCTGGATAAGTTGACGGTTCATTCCGCTGTGTCGACCCTTAGATTAATAAAGGGAATAAGCCGAAAAAAGAATGTATGAGTGAATGTCCCTTTAGATATCTATCTATCTATCTATCTATCTATCTATCTATCTATCTATCTATCTATCTATCTATCTATCTATCTATCTATCTATCGTCTACTGGCATTACTATATTATTTACATATTTTGTTATTTGTCTGTTGTTAAATGTAATTACAACAATCACGCAATAATTAAAGACACCTATTCGAATGCACAAACTTATGGTCTGTTTTAAACATGGTAATTATGCCAGTATTTATGTAAGTTATGAGTTTTGTTCATCATCTCTCTCTTTCTTCTCGTGTGTGTCTAATGTAAAGCATCTGTGTGTGTGACAGAACACGCCTCCTGAAGCTCTCCATTCATGAAAAAGGCGCTCAAAAGCACACCATAACGTGCAACAAATTTAAACTTATATTCTTATAATGAAACCAAACATGCCAAAAACCACCACAAAACTGCCGAATGTGTTTAGTAAGCACAAACAGTGCTTTGAAAGAAGGAATGAATCAACGGAAAATAACTTACGTGCTGCTTTTTCCAATAAAACAATGAGTCCTGAAAATGAGTAGAGACATACGTGACTCCATGTGATTTCACTTCCCTTTCGATTCTGCATCGTTGTACAATTCTGCCGTTTTTTAAACTTTTTTGTGGTATTTGTTCGCCTGTGAGAGGACAGCGAGCTTCTGTGCTAAGCGTGCTTTGTGTGAACAGTTTTTGGAGGCTGCCGCTCAATATGTGACGTCACAGCCCAAGCAAAATATGAAATATTCGAACAGCTTGATGAAGGCCAGCAAATGTGCCCTTGTAAACAGACTACATTCTGCTATACTTGTACATTTTATGTTCAGTAAATAATCATGTTTGTTTGTTTTTTTTTTCTTCTTTGTTTTGGAGATATACCTTATTAATTTTTTGTCAGATTTCTTGTGCTGAGACCATGCCCTGCTTGTATCTTTTACATTATTACATGACAGGAAGAAATTTATTTATTCATTCATTTTCTTCGGCTTAGTCCCTTTATTCATCAGGGGTCACCACAGCGGAATGAACCGCCAACTTATGTTCAGGGCAGGGGCGAGTTTAGTGATTTGTGAGCCCTACGCAATTCCAGCCATGGGGCCGAAAAGTTCTGAAAGTATGCCTTTTGAACTTTAATTTATTTTTATTGAGGTTGGGGAATACATTTGCACAGCAGATATATTAAACATTCAAATAAAAAAAAATTTTAGACACTCATCATACAAAATATGATTAAAAATGATTCATTCATTAATTTTGTTTTTGGCTTAGTCCATATATTTATCTGGGGTTGCCACAGCGGAATGAATCACCATAAAATTGTTATAAATAATTTATAGGTATAATTTATACTTCTAGGTATTTATTTTAAGGGCCTCTAATTCTAAGATTAGTTAGATTTTAAATTTAAATCTAATTTCTAAAACTAAGTTCATCGAAGTCCTAAATAATACTTTTAATTTTATTCTCAGTAATATGTATTATATAAGTAATATGTATTATATATGTAAGCACATGTTATTTTTACAATCCTTTATCAGTTCCTTTGCCTTTGATCAATTTCCTTGTAAATTTGTGTAACTTGCTGCTCTCTCACTCCCCCATCTCTCTCTATATATGCAGAATATATATATATATATATATATATATATATATAATACCCTTAAATTTAAATTTTAAAAGAAATTAACATTTTCTAATGAAAATAAAATCATTGATATAAATCTCATTATTGTTCATGTTAAATTGTTAATATAATAAATAATGCATAATTAATAAAATCAAATAAATATTTTACTATTGTGAAGTGCATTTCTTATTGCATTTTAAACTGGAATCTTGAAAAAAAATATTTATGCAATTACATTTTAATTGCAGCTTATTGTGATATTTAGCATTGCAGATATAAAAATGTGTACTAAATTTACTAGTTTGTACTATATTTACTAGTTTGATATTAAGAATTTGATTTCTGTGAGTGATGATATTGTTGATATCAAGAATATGTTTAATGGAAATGGAATTAATTTTTGATATTAATAATTTATATCCTGAGAATGATTAAATGTCAAAAAGGCTTGCCATATGAAATTACTGCACTTGGTATAATATTCTTTATTTCTGCATAATTCTTATAATATTCAGCAAAAAAAAAAAAGTTTGGTATCTGTAAAAATACATTTAAAATCAGTAGATAAATTTTGGTTAAAAAAAAAAAAAAAAAAAAAAAAAACAAGCTAACATATTTTAAATATTTTTATCTACCGAACACCATAATTCTAATTATGTAAATTGTATACGGATTTTTTTCACATAAAAGCTCTAATTGTGGCAAAATGTTGAAAGCATGCTATGAAACTTTAAAAAGTCAAATTATATGACGTTTTGATCACATTTTTTCAGCACAGTTACAAAAAAAAAAATGTAATTAACAAACAGTACAGCGATTACTCAGACAATCAAAGGATTTGATCACGTGAGAGTCATCAGACCCAAACGCACATGACTTATCACGTGATCAACAGTAGCTCCATAAAAGCCATCAGCCGTGGTCTTCGGTAGTTGTTTATTTCCGCCCAGTGTACGTTTTGGGGAGTGAGACCACATTTAGTACTGCACGACTGCCATACACAAGACAGGTGAGTATCTTATATATCTGAACTTTTGTTTTGAATCACGGGGATCGTGATTACATTTACAGAAAGAATCATATGTAAGGTCATTATGATATAACGTTGTGTCGTAGATTGCGCAATCATATAACACGGTTTGTAAAAATAATGAATAAATAACAAGGTTGCATCTTTATTTGTATAAAGACTCTTATTGGTTCTCATGATTTATTGGCGTCTCTTGGCTGAAAACTTGGGTTGAATGTTGGTTCGACTGCAGTGAGTAAACAAGGCCAGTCGTTAAAAACGAAAGTGAATTAGTAACCAGAGCTTCTCTCAGAACACACATGAATGCTTCAAGTTTGTTACATTGCTAGTTTTCTTACACCTTTATTATTAGGTTTCTAACAAAAGCATCAAACTATTTGACTTTGAGTACTGTTTTAAAATTTAAGCCATTCAATGGTGCAAAGTTATTTTACGCTATACAGTCTTTTGCAGTATTGACTAAATGAACCATTTTAATTTGATGAAGCGGGTTTTAATTCACTTTAGTTACCCAGATTGCTGCCGGGTATTTAAGCCGCCGGTTGTTCCTGTAAATTGCGCTGACTCACGCACCTTATAAATGATGTCATTACAAACTTTTTAAGGAAGTGCAAACCATTATTTATATTAAACTTAGTCATTTACACTGTCATTTGCACACACTTAGTCTGTTATTCACCAAGATGCTTTATTGTATATTGTTGTGTGGCCTTTGTTATGATGGCAGTAAAATTGATAAGAAAATTCTCTTAACAACTGAGTGATGGGCTTCTGTGGAAGCAAATGGGGGTTTTTCTGTTGCAAAACCAATAAGAGTTTCTGACAGTCTTGTGATGTCTCGAGGTTTCACTTCTGCATGACTGCAGCGTCTAGATGACTCTCCTGTGGGCAGTCATTGGTTCACTTGCCTCAAGTGTCCTTGATGTACCACTTGACCATTGCTGGCTGACAATTTAGAGGTTTAGCCTAGCTTTTTTTTTTTTCTCCACACCCCACCCCCCTGATGTTATTAAATCTGAGTTGATGTTATGAAGCCAAAGATTAGAGAATTGCCCCTTTCAATCCCTGCTTTTAAGTAGCCACTCACAATACTTACTTGCAAATTGGATTTTCTTGTTTCAGAATGTGGCGGCTGGCGTTCCTGTGTGTGATCTCAGCCCTTTCAGTGAGCTGGGCCCGACCTCGCCTCCCTCCCTTGTCCCATGAGATGGTCAACTTCATCAACAAAGCAAACACTACTTGGACGGTAAAATTTTGTTTTTGCAATGCTCTGAACTGTTTTTGGCAGGTGCTGGAAATAACTTTCGCACTCTTTATATTGGCATTTCTCCCCTATAGGCTGGACATAACTTCCGTGATGTGGACTACAGCTATGTAAAGAAGTTGTGTGGGACTTTTCTGAAGGGTCCCAAACTCCCTGTCATGTGAGTTCAAGTACATGAGGAAGTGGAAGTGCAACCTGTTTATTTTGCAGTCACTGTGTGCATATGACAAACAAATCATGTGGTGCATTACTGCATTTTTCCTTGTAGCTTGAAGTTCTGCCTCTTTGCAACAACTGTTGCTTTTGTCTTCAACTAGGGTTCAATATACAGAGGGCCTCAAGCTCCCAAAAAACTTTGATGCAAGAGAGCAGTGGCCCAACTGCCCCACACTCAAAGAGATTCGAGACCAGGGTTCTTGCGGTTCATGCTGGGTGAGTTTTTCTTCGGTGGACACTAAAGAAATTAATATAGACTGTCTCATGTGTTTTTTTTTTTTTTTTTTTTTTTCCCCCCATTGTAGGCATTTGGAGCTGCCGAAGCTATCTCAGATAGAGTATGTATCCACAGTGATGCCAAAGTGAGTGTGGAGATCTCCTCTCAGGATCTGCTAACCTGCTGTGACAGTTGTGGCATGGGGTAGGTAACATGGATGCAGCCCCTTTTTTTAATCCTCTTTGCATTAGCAATTCTTAATTGCCTACCTCGCAAGCAACTCAATGCATGTCTTTAATGCAGAGAACTCTTAGGTCTTTGATAATTATGCATACAGAAGTTAATGTTCAAACATCTCTTATACAAGTTACATTGCAGAAGAGGCTTTAACATTGCACATAGCTTAAAAATGCAAGTTATTACCAGGGGTTTACATTAACACCTGCCAAATGCGGGTAGATTTCAGCTCTGGCGGGTTAGACTGACACCTCCACTAGTCGCTTTGGCTGGTCGGAAATAATTTTTAAATTGTAGTTTTCTCAAAAGCAGGGTTCGACAACAAGCATGGCCTAATATTCGTGCAAATGTGATCTTAGAATCAGGAAGCAGCACGACTGACAAATAACAAAAGACAAATGAGCAAAAAAGAAGGTAAATGCTGAACGAGAGGATGATCACTCGCGCCCGCAGGTGATGTGCGCGACTGTTGAAGCATGCATGCTCCAGTTTACTTGCGCAAGGCAACAGTGTCTAGAGGAAGTGCAACTGGTGCGATAGATTTTTCTTTGAAATAGACTGGACAAGGAGCGATTGATCGTGCACCCACAGTTCTGCTCCTTTTGAAGAGTTCAAGACTAAAAAAAACAAAAATACTTATTTGGTGTGATCCGAGATAAATTTGGTTAATCCTTAATTTTGTGCCCTGAAATGTCATATGGAATTAAAACTAATTGCATTGCGACAACCCGTTTGCTCATGCACATCGAGCAAGCTAATACACAATGCACACAAGAAGTGAAATGAATGAGGCATGTGGACAACGCATCTAAATCGAAGTCATTTTAGCATGTTAGTCTAATTTATGCATCTAATAGTTTTTTTTTTCAACAAGAAAAGTGTGGCTAACAATATTGGAAATCTACTAGCACAGTGGCTGGTGATCAAAAGTAAATGTTAAGCCCTGGTTCTTTCATTACTTGGTGCAAATTATCACCATACATTTTATCAATCTCTCCTTGATGGGTTTTGTATGTTCACCATATTTTAAGTTCAGTTCAGGGTGTCTGGTCTCACTGATTCGCCTTTATCAGCTAATAAACGGGTGTCAAACTCCGTTCCAAAAGGGCCGCAGCTCTGCACGGTTTGGTTCCAACCATAATTAAACGCGATCAAACTAATGGAGTCCTGCAGGCTTGTTTGATACCTACAGGTAAGTGTGTTGGAGCAGGGTTGGAACTAAACTGTGCCGGGCTTCGGCCCTCCAGGAATTGAGTTTGACACCCCTGAGCTAATAGTAATGACCCAAGCAAACTGGACCCAGGTTAAGCTCCAAACATTTCAGGTCTTAGTGCTAGCAATACTAGAAACGCAAAATGCAGGAAATGCCAAGATGGCTACCTGAACTTTTTTTTTTTTTTTTTTTTTTTTTTCCCCCCCCCCAAAGCAAAGCGTCACAACCAGCCACATTTATTTATTTCTTTTGGGGTCATCCTTACTGCAAACTTGTATGTGGAGGGGTGCCTAACAATATTTTTCGGGAGAAAGGGGGGGGGGGGGTTGGGGTTCTCTGGTAAAAAAATAAAAAAGGTTGGGAACCACTGCTTTACATTTATCTTCCATTTTAATACAAAAACTTTACAGAAGTAACCAGACCATTAGAAATCATTTTTTTTGCGCCAATAGCCTAGTGTTGACACTGCACCAAGGTTACCAACCTTAAAACCTGAGTTTAAAGCCCGTCTCGAGGTCCTTTGCCTATCCTTCCCATCTGTGCTTCCCACACTTTCCTGTCTGTAAAATCTCCACTGTCCTATCCCAATAAAGCTGAAAACCCCTAAAAATAATAATAGAGAAAACCTTTTTGTGTTTTAGCCCTGGAAGTCTAAGAATTGATTCATAATGGTCTTAAAATATTTAAGTCATTAAATTTGATTTGAGAACCTGCATAAACCCCGTAGTTGAAGCAAATTAAGTTCACACCCGTATATTAATATTAGCGGTCAAAGTATGGATGACTCTACCCTTTTAATTCCTGCGTTTCTCCCCCTAGACTTTCATTCATACATGTGAAAATGTGTCAGAGCAGAAACAAGCTTGTTTTGCAAATTCGCTGCGTTGGATAGTTTAGGCTTTGTTATCTCTAACCTGCAAAATTGCATCACATGATTGCGTGAGACTAACTGAAGATCATCACATGACATCGCTGGACCGAAATTTAAAAAATGGATTGATCACTTGCTTTTAATGTCTAATCGTGTTTATCCCCACCCCTTTTCACAGTGCCGTACAACAGAATTTCGCACGCACAAACGCTAGCATGACTGCAGCTTTTAGTCTAGCTTGGCTGACTGCTTGAACCTTAAAGCAACTTAACAACTTGTCTTATTCGCAGAAAGAAGTGGATATGTAGTGATCTGTAGTACCAAACCCTAAACTTTTTTTACAACTTTGTTAAACTTAACCATGTGAATCAACCAGACCTGGAGATCAGCTGAATGCGAGAACTTAGCTTTGCTTTCATGCATCATTGAATCGGGTGTTATTTATTTATTTTTTTTAAATGACCAAAGTTTAGATCTTAATTACTGCTTTACTCTGTACATCTATGTACTAAGACTGACAAAAAAACGATTTCAAGTTGTCTGTGTTGGCTTGCATGATACCAAGTCAGTTTATTTTACTTGTGTTCTCAGATGTAATGGTGGATACCCGTCTGCTGCTTGGGATTTCTGGGCCACAGAGGGTCTGGTCACTGGTGGACTCTATAACTCCCACATTGGTTGGTTTTTCTATTCTTGATTTCTGTTAATCCACTGTTTACGTTCAAGACTTAAATGAGGCTTGTTTTTTAGGCTGTCGTCCATATACCATTGAACCCTGTGAGCACCATGTGAATGGCAGTCGCCCTCCATGTTCAGGAGAGGGTGGAGACACTCCAAACTGTGACATGAAATGTGAACCTGGCTACAGCCCCTCTTACAAGCAAGACAAACACTTTGGTAAGAGTTAGCAGGAACTTACCTGTTTTTGTACACTTCATGATGGACATTAAGGGTGTTCGAATGGGTTTTTTTTTTTTTTTTTTTAATGTTTACTAATCACTTGTCAAATAGTCATACCAGAAATCTGGCTTTTTTTTTTTTTCTTCTGAGTATTAATTGACCCTTCGCTAAGCCACACCCAAAAACCACAACCAACCAATCGTGTCATGGCTACTGTAGTTGCATGCAAGGGCTCTGTCAAGCTTTTGAGCGAGTGTATGTGGATTGTGTAAATCTTATACCCGGTATCCTTAAAGTTTGGACTGGATGGTGTAATTTACCCCCCCCCCCCCCCCCCAAACACCCCTTTTGGGTCAAGCTGTGTGAGGGGTGCTAAAAGAGCGGAGCTAAGTTGGTTTTGTTTTGATATTCCTGACACATTCAGTGATCGACAGCAATAACTTGCACACCTATTACCCTAAACAGATCTAAACTGTGTTTCCTACAAAAATATAAAGCAGGTTATGTTTCATAGCTGTCTTTTTTCTTTTCCTTTTTTTTTTTTTTTTTTCCCCCACTTTATATTATGAGCACTGCTGTTTAAGCCTTCGCCATAACTTGTCATTATGACCTAATTTGCTATTAGTATGACTGAGTTATTGATCCGGCAAATATGAATCTGCAAATCTGTTGCTAACTTAACTGAACTTCATATTTCTATCCATTTCAAGCTACGAATATTTGAAATTACAAATCAACAGAACAAAAATGAGATATGATCACAAACTGAGCACTTGCGATCAATATACTTTTAACCGCAGATGTTTTTCATTAATTTATAAAAAGCACAAACATACTGACAGTTGTAGGCAATTTACCCACAGTTACCCATGGCCAAATATTAGCCAATGCTAATATTTGGCACATCCATCAAATTAAATACTTTCTGGCTGTTCTTTCTATGAATTACCTATGTAGAAGCATTGTCTTTGTGTTTCCTCATTGGTTAGTAATGCTATATTTCATTGCACAACAGTCTATCAGGCTTTTTAGCTAAAAATAGAGAAATCAGTTTATTTGTTATTATTATTATTATTATTATTATTAGACTATATCCTCCTGTGCATGAACGAAGCTGTTGAATGGTCAGCATATGAGGCGGCTAAGCTAGCTTCAATTTTGATTGAATTCTTATCAGTTGCCTAATATATTGTGAATATACCCGTGTAATGGATACTGCAGGCTTTTTTTTTTTTTTTTTCTGGCTTTCTCCATCTCACCTGTTAGCCAAAAATGACATCCCTGGCACTATCTGACACCGGCGCACACATTGTAAAAGCCATGCTAGGCACCATTGCTTGACCGATGTAGCAACCGTAACTAAAGAGGGCGGGGATTAGTGAAGGGTTAATTGTCAGTTGTCTTAATGGCACTGATATGTGAGGTCATGGATTAAACGGTTGATGTTGGTCCTTGTAATTGCAGGGAAGACGTCCTACAGTGTGCCATCTAATCAAAATAGCATCATGGCTGAGCTCTTCAAGAACGGTCCAGTAGAGGGAGCCTTTACGGTCTATGAGGATTTCCTGCTCTATAAATCTGGTTGGTTTCCATCTGTGTATGCTGGAATACTGATACAACATAAAATGGATGTGGTTAATTTTATTTCTTTTGCAGGTGTATACCAGCACATGAGTGGATCTCCTGTAGGTGGTCATGCCATTAAAATTTTGGGCTGGGGAGAGGAAAATGGTGTCCCCTACTGGCTAGCTGCTAACTCCTGGAACACCGACTGGGGTGATAATGGTGAGGTGCACATTGTTTGGAAAAATATATATTTAATTTGTGTTAAGTAAAGTTAGGGAAGTTCCATGGACCTTTCCAGACTACAGAATTCTTATTTTAATTTATTTTCCCCTTCTAGGATATTTCAAGATTCTCAGAGGCGAGGACCACTGTGGAATTGAATCTGAAATCGTGGCTGGAATCCCAATGTAAAAGGAAAAAGACAATCTAAAAGAAGCCCCTGATCAAATGTTATAAGCTGACTGCCATTCTCTGTCCATGGTACATTTTAAGTATTGTTAATGTTCAGTTTTTATAGCTATTTTGCATTTGGAGGGGACCCTTGTTCAGGCAAGGTTTTTAGTACATGCCTTTCATGCAGCGCAAAATTTAATTGGACCTGCTCATTGGACTTTTTTAAACTGCTGACTATAAGATTTTAGAACAAATTGATTCCTCAATGCCACAAGTTTCAGTGTATTTGGCTTGAATTGTTGAACGGGATTTTTACTTTGTTTTAATACATGATTTAGAATATAATAAATAATAAAACAAAAGCATGTGTGTCTTGTTTGCAACATCTTGACCTGAAGAACTTAAAGTTTTCTAGGAACTTTTTCCTTGTAATTTACAGCTTCCCCCCCCTTCCCTAGCCTTTTTCAGATTTCTAATACTTTGAAAACCATAAGTAAAGGAAGCTTACAGTGGAAAACGAAGCCTTTCGCTTGCTGATATTCTTCCAAATGTCATGTGCAATAAATGTAACTATTTACAACATGAGCTGAAGGCCACTAAAATGGAGGATCAATTATACCTTTTTTTTTTAATATTAAGTGCAAACAATAAAGAAAGTGGCATTAGTATGTTCCTGTTAATTCACACTGCTAAGGCTTTATGGTTAGAGCTTTACTCCAATGGAGTAATTGTCTTTTGAATAAAAGCTCAATTTAAAGCGTCTGTTAAATATTTCAAAATTAACCTTGACCAAAAGTAAGCAATTTACATCACAATCAATCCAAATCCTTCACCAGAATCAAACCAATAAGACTGCAGTGGTCATGGAGCTGAAACTCTACCTAATTGAGGTTTATTTCAAAGGCAATTAAATTCCCCAAAAAAGTAGCTGGGTGGTAACTAGATCTTGGCTGAGACTGTATTTGCATTGATCTTGCAGTAAAACTAAGCTCTAAGTTCTGGATTTGCATAGTTTTGTACAGTGATTAATTCAAATGATAACTTTCTGGATTACACAACTCATTCCAGATTGAGAATGTCTAGAGTTCAGTAAATTTGCGATTTACCTTGATGAATAACTCATTGATGATATCCTTAACTCGTGCTTTAAGGTCTTTTGAGACAACTATTTAACATCCATTAATAAATTAAAGTAAATCAGTCATATGAAGCAGGTGAGTGGTTTTAAATGTATGCCTGATTTTCTTTTATATCTTTTTTTTTGAGATGCAGCTAAAGCAATAACTTAGTCTCTGAAGTTGCACTTATTGAGGATTATCCATTACATCTCAGGTTGGTTCTGATGGATTGGCATGTTCTCCAGTTCCTGATGGTCATCCTGCAGCTTCTGCTCTATTGGAGGCTGCTGTTGGTCCTGCTGTTCTTCAGCTTTCTCTGGTGTTTGCTTGTGTTCTTCATCTGTCTCGTTTTTATGTTCAGACCCTTGGTCAACCTCTGCATCTTTCTGGTGATTTTTAGCATCTCCATTTTCTGGTTTCTTACCAGTTTCCTCTTGCTTAGAAGTCTCATCAGCAGGTGGATCAGTGGGAATGTTATCTTGATGCTCCATTGTGGATGGTGATAACAGCTCTGATGGAGCCAGTAGTCCATCCTGGTTCAGATCCTGAGTTTGTAGAAGGTAATCCACCAAGGTGACAACCTAAAATGTTAACGTCATATGAATTCAAGAGCATTTTACTTTAACTTAAATAAATTAATGGAGAGAAAAGTAAGCGGTACTCACAGAATCTGTTGACTTTGGTGCCATTTCATGGTAAGTCAGGAAATCTGTCAGAAGCTGCATCAGTTCAAGACCGTCCATCTGCCCACTTCTGTCATAGTCATACAGGGAGAAAAGGAAAAACACCTCTATAGAACCACAAGAGAACAAAACACAATATGCTGGTTAACCTCCAAAAACAGCTTTAAAAACATGCATAACCTCTGAAACTCTGGGACCCTGTACCAGGTCATGACGTCATTTACTTTTCTAAATTTTAGTGGTCTGTACTGGCCCAATACACCCATAACTGGTTCTGTACTTTCATCAGTTGGAATAAATCCCTTTTGCATATACTGACAATTTTCTTTTTTCCTATAATTACTGACATGTACAGGAACCACTGAAATGAATTGTAGCAACCTAGACCACACAGAACCTAAAAGGTACACTTTAAAATTTGAGTTTACAAAAATACAAAACAGAGCCTTTTTTTTTTTTGAAGTGGTTCATTATAACACAGACAGCATATACAATTATTTTATTCCCTTTGTTTTATAAAAATTTAAAGGGTTTTCTTTAAGATGAACTATTGCATTTACACTTCTGCAAGTGGATTTGGGAAGCTGTTAAATTAGAGTGGGCAAAATCCAGGCGGGTGGCGCAGTAGAGTGCTGTTGCCTCACAGCAAGAAGGTCGCTGGTTCGAGCCTCGGCTGGGTCAGTTGCTGTTTCTGTGCCAAGTTTGCATATTCTCCCGCATTTGTGTGGGTTTCCTTGTGCTCTTGTTTCCCCCACAAGTCCAAAGACCTGATACATGTGAATTGGTTAAGCTAAATAGTCCGTAGTGTATAAGTGTGAGTGAGAGTAAATGGATGTTTCCCAGTGATGAGTTGCAGCTGGAAGGGCTGTGTAAAAACGTGCTGGATAAATTGGTGGTTCATTCCGCTGTGGCGACCCCAGATTAATAGAGAGACTAAGTCGAAAAGAAAATGAATAAAAATCCAGATGGAAACCCCAAAATAGCACTTGACTTTAAGATTAAAACATGAACATCAGAAATATTTTTCTGTTAAGGAATATATACAACTGCAGAAAGAAATCAAGAGATTCCTCAGAAATTTCTCTGGATTTATGATTTATAATTACAGTATGTGCATGAGTAAAACCCACTGATAACATCTGCCAAAATTAGAATAAAAATGTAATATAGACCAGTTTATATTTTATTTCACCAAAAACACAAAGATGTCATGTTATCAGTCATGTTTATATTCATATCTGTAAGAATAACCCTGATTTTCACTACAAATTAAAACGTTATTCTGACCAATTGTTGTTTTTTGAAGGATAAAAAAAGCTCTAAATGACAAAATTCTATTTTATTTGAAATTTTGGAAGAAATGCTGTCAGATCTTTATACAATAAAACATATTCTAATGTTATACTCAAATAAATACAGGCAGCGGCGGTTCATTCCATTGTGGTGACCCCTGATTAATAAAGGGACTAAGCTGAAAAAAAAATTAATGAATGAACATACAGGTAGCATAACAATACAGTAAATCAGTAAATTCAGAGAAACAGACTTTTCAAGTGGTTCCAAAGCCTCTCTCTTCAACAGTCAAATTATTCTAATCGGCTTCTGAATTCATAAGTACAGCAGTAATGTGTGACTGATTATTATTCAGTGCTACAATAAACAAGGCAATGTGCAGATTCCATCAAATTTGCCTTTTTATCGCAACACTCTTAACAGACTGCCACCTCTCGTGAATTTGTGAAGGATACTTCTTATGATATTTTTTATATGATTTTACATCATCACCACAAACAAAATCTGTGTGCTTGTGTGTGTAAATATATTTATACAAAAGTTCCGTCTCATTCTCGAATCTGATTGGCTGATAGCCGTGCAATATTTTGCCAGTAACACCACTCTTCTAGCCTCTTAACTATTCACCACTATTCAACAAGCAGAGGACACTCTACAGTTTGACAAATATTGCTGCTGTTGGGCAACATAATGTACCTTTGAGGCCTTTTTTATAATTAATGGGAGAGAGTGCATTGGCGGCCATTAGCCTGTCATTGAGCAGGAAGTACTTTCTCTTACAAAAGGGTTTTGAGACTCTCTGTGTTTGATTTTCTTTTTTATACACACAATTATGCCATCTAACTGTTGTATAAACACAATATCACACTCGTAGCAGTGCGATGTGGCTGTATATCATCACTGGTGGCAACACACGCCTCCCACCAGTGCCGATGTACAGCCACATTGCACTGCTACGAGTATGATATTGCTCATTTATTTATACAGTCAAGCCTAAAATTCTTCATACCCCTGGGCTATGAATAATTTCAGAATTGATACGGTTTATACACACAAAAACACAAACAGATTTTATTTATGGCGATGATGTAAACTCATGTCAATATTTATATATTTGGAATTATGTATTCATTCACAATATAGAATTGAGTTAAAATAGATTAAAAATGTAAACACCAATCTTGACTGAAAATGAAGGTAGTTAATTGAGAAAGCGAGTTTACAACACAGTATTAACCTTGCTCCCTTGTGTTGAGCTCTGGACTTGTCTGTCCTTCCTTCAGGTTGCTCTTGATGTAGCTTTGCAGAAGCCTGTCACACAGAATCAAAGATACATCCACTTTACAGTAGTTTGATCCATACTGTACATTCCTACTTTAATATATTTAATGGCAAAAAATTCACCATTGCAATCAACATGCACAACTGCATAACTTTTCTTCCAAAATCCAAAGGTTTTAGCAAAACATGTTTCAACAAAACGGTTTTATTATTGCTTGTTGAGCATATCAGTGTCAGCTGTGGAAATCTCAGCATTATCTCTGATGGGACGTTGGACTTTGAAACTTGGGGCAATACTTTATTTAACCAGGTGGTTTAAAGAAAGTAAAACAAGGCTCAAGAAAATGTAAGAAATATCACCTGCGGTTGTCTTCACTAGACCCAAAAGGATTAGCAAGGTCTGGTGCAAGGACGCCATCACTAGAAAACAGAACAAAACAACTTTCAGAACTAGGCAAAGTTCTTTTCTCTCTCAGACACACACATATATAAACACAGTGGCATGTTAAACACAACTTTAAGATATTGAAACTTGATCTATCCTAATCAAAATATTAACAGCCATGTTCTTTGATAAATTAACAGAACTATAATATAATTCACAATGATAATGTAAGCACAAGTTAACTATGTACCAGTTCTATGAATGATCATGTAGTGTTTAATACATTCAATAGTTTACTGCCATAAGTAGTGTTTTCACAGATTTTTAAAAATGGAACTTGCAAAGAATAGCCAACATTTCCCAATATGTAGCACTATCAATGATATAAATAAGAATTTATCAGTCACACTTTACAATAAGGTTTCATTAGCTAATGTGAGTTAACGTGTTTACTAACATTAACTAATAATGAAAAACACTTGTACAGCATTTATTAATCATAGTTCAACATTTACTAAACGATTATTAAAATCCAAATTTACGTTTGTTTACATTTGTTAATGCACTGTGAGTTATGAACTAACAACTGTATTTTCATTAACTAACATGAAACAATAACGTAATAAATGTAGTATAATTCATGTTTGTATGCATTAACTAACACAACTTTATTGTAAAGTGTTACAAATTTAACAACATATAAAAAAATATGGCAATTACGTCAAATCCCAAACAACAGTTTAGTTTTTGGCTTCTTGAACAAGTATATTACTATTAATTGACCTTAGTTAATAAGCAAATTTGTTCAAAAATGTCTGAAATAGCTAACTTGTTGCTCTTCGTAATAAGATATGTCAGATATTCTTCTAAATATGTTACGTTAAAGACTAACTATACACAGTCACACAGTAAGTACAGTACCGGCGGCAGCACAGTGTGAATGCGGCCTACTGTAACGTTACCTGAGGCTCTGGACTTGTGGAGCACACAGGGTCAGTGCTGGGAGGATGAGCACAAACACAAGCCGTGTCGAGATCATATTAGCTGCTCCTCTGGATCGCATTAGGACACCTGTATCAGCACAGACAGTTCAGACGGTCAAAGAAACGACTCGTGAATCAGATGAGATGCACAAACAGCAGAAATCGATCACTTAAGAATGAAACGATTCTTTCGGATATGAAGAGTCAGCTGACCGAACACCTTACATTGCGACAATGAAGCTTGCAACTGTTCTTTGTATTTACATTGCGGCGTGTTAATATACTGATTCAATAACCACAAGTAAGGATCAGCAAAGCTATGCGAAATGCTACTGTACCTTCACTGTTGACGGCGGTCAGCGGACCATCCATGATGAATCCCCCACCGCGGCGGATGAGAGCAGCGCAGCCCGTGTGTGTGCAGCTCTGACCGGCTACACGTGGATTCCGTGGACGTGTCGTGGCCCGGATAAAATAAATCAGCTCCTCCTCGAGCTCTCCATATTCCGCCTTCCACTGAGTTCCATCATCGCCACGTAGAGTCGCTGACACTGCGTTTACAGCACGCCGTTCCTCCGCACGCACCGCCTCTTACTGTACACTATCTATTCTGTTCCTCAGGGAATACTGGTTGTAAATAAACCGAGGAGTAACGTAGCAAATGTTTTAGCTTTAATATAGAGCATCACAGTGACATCATCTGGAATTATCTTTTAATAGATATGAAATTAATTTTAATAAAGTCTTGTTGGTGGTAAATGCCTAATACCCTATAAATACGGTATGTACACTTATCAAATCTGCGACTTTACGTGTAATTCAGTACTTCTTCACTAACTTGGCAGTGCAGAAGCAATTTAGTCCTGACTGTCAGACAGGACACTCCTTAACTAAAACTGTCCAAGTTTTGCACAATTTCGCCACAAGATGGCAAGCATGATCTCAGTGAAACTTACCCACCACTGCATACAGCAATGAATACTATTGCTAATACTGATAACAATAATAATAACATGTAAGTATGATATGGAGGGTTACATTTTCTTGATTTTTCATCTTTAAACAATAGCCTACTCAACTTGGAATTTTATCCCCAGTTACTTTTTTTTAAAAACCTGAGAGGTCTCTCTTTTCTACTGATTTGTAACTACAATATTGCTAGAATCTCTTATAAATTATCCAATTTTCATAAACAAGCTTTACTTGCATGGTCACTGATTTACAAAGACAATTTCCTCCTCATCAGCATTTTATCTGGAACAATCAGAACATTTTTTATAGCAAATCTTTATTTTTAAATGGTTGGTTTGAGAAAAAATATTTTGACTGTATCTCAGTTATTTAATTCAGAAGGTTTTTTCTTAAATTTAAAAAAAAAAAATGTGCAAGTTTGGTTTCCTGGTAACGCTAAAAGAATTTTCCATTGTAATGGATGCAACTCTTAAAGGAGTTATACTGCTTTTTATGGTGGCGTATTCAGTGTTTCGTCTGCCCCCTTGGAAACTTCAGTGGAAAAAGCATGTGTTTTTGTCACAACTTTCCTCACGTAATTACAAAATCAGGTCTATCTTTCAAAAGGAAATTGTAGCTACCCCATGTGTAAAGTTTTTTTTTTTTTTTTTTTTTTTTTTTGATGGACATATATGACCAGATTCAATGGAAAAAAAGTTTGGCCTTTATCTGTAAAATATATAATAACTAACAAAATTAGAGACATTTCATTTAAACTGTTACACAGATTTTACCCAGACAAGACATTTAAAAATATATATAAGTCAGATATAGATCCTGCTGCTTATTCTGTAATATACCCAGTGAAACTGCTGATCATATTTTTTGGAATGGTCTTTATACACAATGCTTTTGAATTGAATTTTATTTGTTTATTCATCACAAAATATTGGACTCTTGTTATCTTTTTTAAGGATATCCTGTTGTTGTTTTTTAATACCCCTGATGAAAAAAGTAAGGAAAATTCCATATACAAGAATAAATTCTTTCAAATTGTTTTTTTTTTAAAGAAACTTTAATAGTACATTAAAACTATTGTTTCGTCTAAAAATCTTAAAGCTATTTGAACTGTTCTTTTCTTTTTTGAATTTGCTTAACGTGATTTTATATTATTTGTTGTTTATTTTTTAGTTAATTTTTAATAAAAGTAAAGCATCAAATAAGCACATACAAGAGATCTTGTATGTGCTTATTTGATGCTTTACTTCTCTGTAAAACTCATGAACAATCTGCATAATAAATTTGTATGAGGCTGTTTTTGTACTCTGACATTAATAGAAAAAGATAATAATAATAATTATGATTATTATTATTAATAAAAATACTAAAAAAATTACAGTGAAATGAAAACCTCAATAAATGAGGTTTATGCTGTAGCTACACTTATTTTTGCCACATGATGGCAGTACTTTCGTTTGAAATGCTACGACAGCACAGACTTTTCCCTTTGTTGATTTATTTTCAGAATGTTCTGTCTCCAAGTCACACTGTGAGTGAAACACCTTACGAATATCAACCCTAATCTTTACCACACTTTTTGACGTATACTGACTAGTATCAACCACAACTTTATTATAATCATCATGGTGAAACTATAGTTAGTGTATCAAAACAATGGTTAATCTGTGAATATAACAAATATTTCTATAACACAAACAAGACACTGGATATTCAGTAAAGGGTCATAAAAATAAATAAATGTTCAGTCCTGTTCGAAAGATTCCGCCCACTCTTACTGTGGTACACTAGGATTTTTGTATTTTAACTACATCACATATTAATTACTTGATAAATGAATAACTGCTTATAAAACTTTTTCATCTTTGGATTTTATGAATGTAGTTTTGTTTTCTGTGGCACAGTGGCTTAGTGTTGCCTTACAGCAAGAAGGTCACTGGTTAGAGTCTCAGCTGGGCCAGTTAGTATTTATGTGTGGAGTTTGCATGTTCTTCCAGTGTTCGTGTGGGTTTCCTCCAGTTTCCCCCACAGCCCAATTATATGTGCTATAGGCTAATTGGATGAACTAAATTAACAGTGAGTGAATGTGAGGGTGTATTTGCTGCATGTGTAAAAACATATGCAATATTATATTCCAGTTTTGGCGGTTCATTCCATTTTGGCGACCCCTGATAACTCAAGGAATGAGCTGAAAGAAAATGAATAAATGAATGAGTTATATTTTCTAAAAGTGTGAACACAACCTTTCAAAAGGAATTTAATCTCCAGAGGCCTTCGTTTCTATCGATCTGTCCATTTGCTTTTGTCCATCCACTCATTTGTCTTTTAACAAAAATAGACTAAAGTTAGGATGACTCTAAGGACCCGCTCACTTTTGGGGCCCTAGAAATTACTACTAGCCTATGGGACTTAACTATAACCCAATCCACCCCAGCACCCCCCAAACTCCACCCCTCTTCTCTTTGGGTGGCTCTGGGCCAGTGGCACCCCTGCTTCAGGTTATGGATTTCCTCTGATAAGCTGGATTGGGAAAGCTATAATGTGTTTAAACTACAGCAGTGACATTTATAGGCTTCATTTATATGTCTTCATTTACAGACACACACACACCAGTCATAAAAGTCTACTCAGAGTTGGTGATATAATCGATTTGCTTATTGTTGATCAACTTAAAGTGCACGAATGCTGAGTTTATGAGATCAAATCAATACCTGCCTTCCTGCAGTCAGTCATACCAAAGTAAATCCAATGATGATTGAATATTTCTTTTAATTGTGTTCCATCATTGATCTCTGCAGAGGTCACTGGGAGTCTTTCTGAAACACACACACAGGTAAAGATGTCATTTACACAAATATATTGGTATTAATTTATATATCAAGTCTTTTATTTCACTAGAATGTTGCAATCATGCGCATAATTATCAATCCATGTAACTGATATGGTTGTTTTCTTAGATTTTTAGTAAAAGATGGTTAGTTTCATGCATGATAATGAATTGATCTGCTTTGCTTCTATCTCTATGTAAATCACACAAGTGTGTGTTGTGCGGACGGTGTTCGATTACCTAACAGCTGTGCCTGTTCCATGTATTTCTTTCAGTACCATCTGTTCTGCTTTACTGCCAGATAGAAAGTTCAGCCAAAATGCTATTGTGTTTTCACAAACATTACGAACAGTTTTATGCTAATCCCGCTAATCCACTGCTTTAGGAACCAAGCTTTTCCTTATGGTTAAATTCGGTTTGTTTAAACAAACTGAAGTAAACTGTTTTTCACGGTTGTTAAAAGGTTAAAGCGGCACCAGGTCAACTGTCAAAGGCAAACATGGTAGATTTAATGTATATGAAACTCACTTTTTTATTTATTTTTGGAAATCTCTTTTTATTGTGTGATGAAGAGTTTATTTGCAAAAAAACAACAATACTGAGATATTTGTGTTTGCATTTGAACTCTTCCTATTTTATCAGTGGTCACAGTACATTATATGAACAGTAACAAAAGATGTTGCAACATTTTAAGGAAAATCTAGACATTAATGATAAAATACTTGATTTTTGTGAGGATTATTTCAGCAAAGGAAAAATATAAAATGTAATTTGATTTAAAAATCAGCACCACAGTGACTGAAACTTAAATAGTGTGCCAAACGAAGACAAATGATCAATTAGCTCACGTTAATAGGCTCAAATAAGGATATCTGTACCTGGAGAAAGCACTGATTATCATTCTCATTTACCTCAATGACACTTGCGGGGCTGCTGCAGAACACGAAGTGTGTGATGGGAAATCATCTTTATTCATGAGGATTTGGTGCTGCTCCCAGGTTCTTTCCAGCAGTAAATAGCATGTGACTGATCACTCTGTGTTAAGAAATCTATACAGCTGACAGGGAAAACATGAGTCTGCTTTACTCTAATAATTTAAATCTACTAAAACATTTTCTTACAGTATATAACACCAATAAACCTCAATCTGTTGAGGTCAAACAGAACTCACCTTATAAGAGCTCATCCAGTGTAATACAGTGCATGTAATTAGATAATTGTGCAGTTGGAGCTATTTTGAGCAGTTTCTAGGGGGTTAGACGTGTAGGTTGAAGCTAAATGTTCAAGTCCTTTTAATATTTGTTTTTGTATGTATCGGTTTTGCAAGACATTAAAACAAACAAAAACATATACATATATACATACATTATATATTACATACACACAAATTATTATTATTATTATTATTATTATTATATATTGGGATTTTTGAAATATTTCCCAAATGATGTTTAACAGAGCAAGAAAATTTTCACAGTATGTCTGATCATATTTTTTCTTCTGGAGAAAGTCTTACTTGTTTTAAAAGCCATTTTCAAGGACAATATTATTAGCCTTTTAAGCTTTATTTTTTTCAATAGTCTAAAGAACAAACCAGCAATATACATTAACTTGCCTAACCCTAACCTACTTAACCTAAATATCCAAGTTAAGCCATAAAATGTCACTTTAAGCTGTATAGAAGTGTCTTGAAAAATATCTAGTCAAATATTATTTCCTGTCATCATGGCAAAGATAAAAATAAATCAGTTATTAGAAATGAATTATTAAAACTATTATGTTTAGAAATGTGTTGAAAAAAATCTTCTCTCTATAAATAAACAGGGGGGCTAATAATTCTGACTTCGACTTTATATATAGTTTATTCAGTTCACATTTACTGCGAGTCTTTGAACTGTGGGAGAGCACCTGGAGGAAACCCACACATGCAAACTCCACAGAGGTATGTCAACTGACCCAGCTGAGACTTGAACCAGCGACCCTCTTGCTGTGAGGCGACAGTGCTAACCTGCTGCCCTAAAGGGACATTCATTCACACATTTATTTTCTTTTTGGCTTAGTCCCTT